TTTAATATAATTTTTACATATTATTAAATAAATAAATATATTTAATATTATAAACAGTATTTTTGGATCCGGCCCGGTGACTGACCCATTTTGGCCACTGGATTCGGTCAACTGATTGAACCGGTTCACCCAATCGGTTCAACCGATCAATTAAAAAAACCCTTTTTTATGTTTATATTAAATTTTATTCTTATATATTATTTTCACTCTATTTTTAAAAAATAATTATCATAAAATCAACTTAAAAATTATCATTTAAGCAATTTAAAATAATAACTTTAATTAAATACATACAACTTAATTATTTTGACTTTTGATATGCTTTTTTTTTTTTTTTGAAGTTCATAGACCAATTTGAGAGAAAATAAACTTTCTAAACCAAAATAATAATAAACCTATAACTAATAGACTAAATGTTAAATTTAGACCATTTCACTTTGCACAACAACCCAAAATTACCTATTTGTAACACGTGCATCTATCACCACCACCAATCATCCCCACACTCCTCAACCATTTTAACAATATCAGTAATCTGCCTCCTCCCCCCAATTTAACCCCTTTTTAAAAAAAAAAAAAAAATTGAATAAAATCTTCCTGAATCTTGTTTTATATCCTTCTTTTGATCCTTTTTTTTTTTGGAGCTTGATCTATCCTCTTCGTTTTCAATCTCCAATAATCGGTTGAGATCGGATTCAGATGGCGGCGTCAAGATGGTTGCATGACCTCTAATCTTAACCAGGGAACAAGATCTGCGTCGACTGTGCCCAAAAGAATTTGCAATGGGCTTTGGTCTCCTATGGCATCTTTATGTGTTTGGAGTGTTCTGGCAAGCACTATGGTCTAAGCGTCTATGTTTCTTTCGTCAGGTCTATTACCATGGACTCTTGGTTTCGATGGAGGTGAAGCAGGGAGACCAGGTTGCGTTTGCTGCGGCTGCTCACGAAGGAGATGAGGTGGTGCTCGACGGGTGGAATGGGTTGGGCAGTTGGCGCGGGTCGAACGAGTTGAACGGGTTTGGACGGGCCAACTCTCAGAACAGGCCGAAGCATGCACTCGGCCCGTTTTTAAGCCTAGATCCGGTTGAACCGATCCAACCGATCGGACCGAACCAAATTTTAAAACAATGATTATAAATTTTACATAAATTAAAAAAATTAATTATTTTAATAACATATCAAATTATATAAAAAAATGAGAAAAAAAGATTATATAAAAATTATTTTTAAAAAATCGTACCATATAGCAAAGAAGTCAAAATTATTAGGCGAAGGAGTCAACATAATGTCGAGCCATTGAAATTAGGGAAGGATGGCAGAGTCCGTAATTTTCTTCAACTCTGATGGCTTAATGCAAGTTGGACGTAAAGATCACGTCTGGTCGGCTGAAAGTAACGGCTGGTTTCCAGAGGACCACGTCGACCCCTGGCGGCTCCGACGTGTATTAACCACGTGCCAAGATTTTATGGTTCGGTCTATCATTTGGGCTTCAGAGCAGCCTCTACACCGCAGAGGCCCAATTACTTGAGCCCATTCAAGTGCCGCCATAGGATTTAGTAGAAAGGATAAGATCTCCTACCCTTTATTTTCTTTCTCTGCATCCAAACAACCTCTCAGGAATTTGAAAGAAAAAAAAAAACTGACGAAAAATGAAGAAACAGAAATATTTATTCATGAGAGAAAAACCGACTGCAATTATTTGATCGGGTTGCTTTTATTGCGTTTCCTAATTAGCCAAGGATTAGGGTTCCGGAGGCTTACTTATGTTGTGGCTTGATTTGCTGCTGTTCTTCAATTTGATCTTCGGATCTTCTTTTCCGGTGATTCTGGAATCTTGATGCAGGGGAGAGATAGTTGAACGATGGAGGAACCTGCTGCTAACGATGCGGAACGTGAAATCGAGCTAGTGATGGGAGACGAAAGCATGCTGATCGGCGATAATGGAGATTCGTTGCAGCCGGACGCTATGTTTCTCACCGAATTGAATCTTCTTCTGGTGGTTCTTTCGATGTTCGCTTTGTCTGATGAAGAGTGTGTGAATTTGGATGGGAGAGAGAAGAGAAGGCGTCAGAGATCACGAGGCGAACGCTTCTGTAACGAGATTGCAGACCAGAAGACGAGAAATCAATGTGGGAAAGGGAAAGCCAGTGGGCCGACGATCACAGAGGTTCCAAACAAGGCCTAAAGATTTTAGGTGAGTGAGAATTCAAGTTTCCGATGTAACATTTAATTTTTCTTTGAGATGAAGACGAATAATATAGTTTAACATTTAATTTTTCATAATATATGAAAAAACTTAAACTAAAGCTAACTCAAAATTTTGAACTAAAGGAGGTTTAATGATCAACAGATAAAGTGATAAAACCATCTGTAACTACTCTCCATTGGCATATAAAAAGGCCATTAGGAAAGGAAACAGTCAAAACAAGAGAAGAACAAATAAATGTTGCAGAGAATAGATAATCTCTTTCTTTGATCTTTGTGTAGACAAATTGTTTCTTGGGTTGTTTTTTTCGTACTTATTTGACTAAGCTCATGAATGGGAGAGGGTAATGAGAGGCTACCCTTACCCTCTCTGTGTCCCCCTTGCCTACAAAGCTAGCACACTAGTCCAAGAAATTCAAATTTAGATTCAATCTGATACTTTAATTCCAACTCCTAAGAGGTCCCTCACCACCTCATAAGTCACGAATGCAATTGCTAGTGATGGCACAACCTGAAAAGGAAAATTACTGATATTAAAAATAAAAATAAAGTAAAAGAAATTGACTAGAGCAACATATGGTTTGTACACTCAACTCAGCAATAAAACAATAATTATATTGATGATATATCAAGTTAACAACAAAGCTCTTACATTTATATAAAAGTAACTGAAGTGTCAAAGAAAAGCAGTAGCAGTGTACAAGAAGCCAAGGAAACAAGGGGATGGCAATGGATTATATATGTTTTACAAATATTCTTTTTTCGGACCATTTGTGCTCAAATCTTGGCAGCTAAAACCAACTTTTAGTCCCCCACCTTACAAAATTAATAGATTTTAATCAATAATCTTATAATATGATATTTTTAATCTTTTATCTTATAAAGTTGGTAGGTTTTAATTCTCACTTTACAAAATTGGTTGGTTTTAGCCTCTTACCTTATATTATGACACTTTTAGCCCCTTATTTATAGGAATTGAAAAAAGTATCTCTCACTTAACATTAGATTGTAATGTTCTATTAGTTTTGTTAGCTGACTATTAATTATGTTAACTGACTGTTAGCATCTGTTAGTATTTTATTAATGGAACTAACAAATAAAACTGAATTTAAATTTTATGTTTTCTATAACAGAATGTTAACAGATATTAACAGTTAACTAACAAAACTAACAAAACATTATAATTTGATGCTAGATAAGGACTATTTTCTTCAATTCATATAGGTGAGGGGTTAAAAATATCATAATATAAGGTGAGAGATTAAAATCTACCAATTTTGTAAGGTGAGGGGTTAAAATTTACCAATTTTATAAAGTAAAGGGTTAATAGTGTTATGTTATAAAGTGAGGGATTATAACCTACCAATTTTGTAATGTGAGGGGCTAAATGTTGGTTTTTACCAATCTTGGCGGGGTAAATATTGCAGGTCATTATGCAAGAGAATATCCTGACACATTCAACCAATGCAAGAATGCCAGACACTCACTTCTATGTAAACCTGTTACATGCATGCTTGAGTGGCCACTGGCTAAGGACAACATCTAAACAATATGTACGCGCTAAGTCTAACTTTAGGTAACATTGAGTGATCATATCTAGACACATCACTTCAAACTTCTGAGTGCAACATCATCCAAATTCGTATTATATTTAACCCAAAGGCTCAATGGAAAATTAGCTAACAGTTAGGCTAACTGAAACCACATAAATGATGAAATTTATCTGATACTCTTTAACACATATGTCCTGCTTGAGACATGGTCCTCATGTTGCCAACCACTAACAACAAAACATCAACCATTAGATTTAAGATGGTGTCTGTATGAGAAGATATAATTACCGTGACAAAAATAATAGGATGTTGTGTAGGTAAACCATGCCTACGCCATCTTCCACCCTCACTAAAATTTGTCCTTCAAAAAGTACTGTTCATAAAGCTTAACTGGACATCAATATAAGGAGAGACTAACCTTTACAGAGTTGGGGACCAAGCCCTTGTACAATGCTCCAAAGCCCTCATACCGAACAGTTTTCCTGAATGCATCAATCATGCCGCTATACTCAAGAGGGGCCTTCCCATCACCAGTCACAACTGAGGCTGCATTACTCCATCCTGCCATCTGCATTCTTCGGCGAATGACATCAGAAGGGTAAGCAATAGTTTGGCCAACCGTTCCGGCAACAGCACCACATGCCAGCCTCGTTATCAAGCCCAACTCAGAATCTTCAGCAAGTCCAAATGGTTTACTTTTAACCAACCAATCTTTTAGAGATTCATAAATGGCAAAGTTGAGACCCACATATGGTATCTGCAAAAGTAATACAAGCATAAGCAGCTTAGTTTTACTGCTATTATCCAATCTGTAACAGTCAAAATTCAGTTAAAATAATGAACTCCAAGCACAAAAAATAAAAGACTTACAACTCCAATGACGGAAGGAACCCAACCCTTGTACAACGCCCGCGGACCCTCTTCCCGCAGCACAGTTGACAGAGCATGGAACATTCCTCTATACTGGTAAGGAGAGTTCTCTGTCTGCAAATGGAAAGAAATGAGATGATAACATACTCGTTTTGCACCAAAATGAAACATGTTAAAGAGATATATCTCATCCCAAAGCTTCACCTTACAAAAATTTTAAAAGATAGATTGCACCAAAGCATGAAATATACATGAAAATAACCAACATCATATATTTCCAAAATAGTCACTAAAAGATGGTACCTGTACGGTGAGCCTCCCCCGTACCAAGTCCATTGGGTAAGTTGCAGACATGGCAATTATGCCGGCACACGCTCCGGCTCCAAGGCGTAAAACTGGAGTAAGCCGAGCATCTTCTGTAGAATTAACATAGCAGGTCATATGAGCATCAAAAGGACCCATATCACAGTACTCACGCCACAGCACTCACACATGACACATTAAAAAGGAGGCGGAATGCAGAACATCAAGCAGAGATCTGTATTCTGTACTCATATCTTGCAATGCAAATGCAAGTTGATAACATTATGAAAGATGATTGAAAATGAATATTGACATACCATTGCCAGTTTGCTGCTGATACAGATATAATAGTCCCCTGTCACAAAGGATATTCGGGACCTGTCAGCTGAAGGTAGCACGTAGAAATGCAAAAGGCCTGAACACGTGTGATACAGGGACTATAATAAAAGCATGAATATTTTTAGCCCCTGGCATCTGTCTCAAGGAACCTGAAGACTGGAAAAAAATGGCATAGTATGGACTCTCTTCATCAACAGATTCACAAGAGTAGAAGTAGATTTATGGTGCTTATATATGATTTAATTGTGATTAAGAACTCACTAAAATAATCGCTATTCAACTTAACATCTTATGAGTTATGACATGGTTGATCATCGAAGATTTCAGAAACAAACAGTAGCCCCTAAGGAACAAAACAAGTTTTCCAATCGAATCAGACTGAAAAATCACAATATGAAGCATCTATGCAGCAAAACAATGCTCCGTACAGACGATTAGATGACAGACAAAAGCACAACCAACCAACAAATCACAAAGCAAGTCAAACTTATGAAATCAAATCAACACTGTACAGAAAACGTACTTAGAAGCTTGTTCATAGGTGAAGAACTTGACTGCTGAATTCGGAATAATACGAGCACAATTAGCGCCATTGCCTTTGAATAAACCACGAAAACCTTCAGTTCTCCAAATATACTTCAACCCTTGAATTGTTCCAGTGTACTTTATATTATGAGGATTCTGAACCTGTATAACATGTAAAAATCAGAATGCATTCAACTGTTCAAAAAACAAGCATGAAGCAACTAATAGCAAAAGAGGAAAATTTAAGAAAAATGGGAACATAACTAACCTGAAGCAATATTTTTAACCGTTCCAGTGGAGCAACAGCAGTTCGTGACCTGCATTAGAAAGAAACGCATTACTTCACCATACTAACATTTAGCTGCAATTCAACTAATTAAAAAGGAATATATATATATATATGTATATATAAAGTAAATTCTGTAGTCGATCTCCGTTTGCATTCTGTCTAAATTGTGCAAATTTTCTCATCATATGACATCATTGCCAAACATCAAAGCAATCAAAAAAAAAAAAAAAAATTGTAAAACATGGCATGCACGAGAGAAAGAGAGGGTACTCACACTCCACCAGCAACACCTCCAGCTGCAAGAGACTTGCAGATGCTTAGAAAGGCATAGCTAGGGGTTTTAACGCCTTCTCTGGCGAGCTTTGCCTCCTCCGCCAGATTGACGATCGTCGAAACAGCCGATTCACTCGTCTTCTCGTCTTCGGAAGCCATCAAAGCAACAAAGGATCAAGACAGAATCGCTCCAAGAGATACCTTTCCTATGGCTATATATATAGCTGGAACCGAGCAGCAACGACCTTGAGACCCGTGTAAATTTCCCGGCGATTGCAGAAAATGTTGGTAGAAAGTCCAACCACATGTGAACACATGGATTTTCCATGTGAAATTTCTTCACCAACCTAACTAGTTGTAGACTAGTATTTGCTTTGTTCAAATCATGCAAAATTGCATTTTAACCCATTTAATGAGAAAAAAAAAAAGATATATGGGTGGTTGGATTTTTCACTATATAAATATCTATGTATGCAAAAAGCAATGGACAAACAAGAGAAAAGTTAAAGTGAGTGGGTGTGAGAGAAAAGAAAAGAAAAATTATGAAAAAATCTTTGTGAAGATTAAGAAAGAATATCAAAGAGAATTGGAGAGTTTTTATATATTGAAACTAAGATATTGAGAGTTTTTTGAGAGAGAAAACTTTTAAATTATTGTTTTTTTTAATAGTGAATTATTTATTTATATTATTTTTTTCATGAAAATAAATTTATTAAAAAGTAAATAAATCGAATGACGTTAAATTGTTGTATTAATTTTTTTATTACTTACGTTTGCCTGAAATCATAGTGCTCAAAATTTCCAACAGAAAAAGAGAGACACTACATTCGTCTCTGCCTCTCCTGTTGTTTTTAAGGTGGGTGGAGACGGCTGTACGAGGAGTAGTGAAAATGAGGTGCCAGAAATCTTAAGGTGTGTGACGGCGGTTTGATCATGGTGCTGTTTTTGTGGTCACGTGCTGACGTGAAACGACGTCGGAGAAATGATTACTGTGTTCCCTGGTAAGAAGTAGGTGGGAAATTGGAAATGTCATACTTACCATAGCATTTAGCATTGCAATTTTAAAATTATGGTATGTGGTTAAATAAAAAGATATATAATATTATAATTAAATTTTTAAATGAAAAAATTGATTAAATATATTATAATTATAAATTTATAATTTTACGTAACATTATAAATATTTCATTTTGGGTTGGGATATGGAAATAGTCAAATTACTAACACTGTATTGCAATACACCACTCCCTTTGCACTCCCTTTGTTTTCAAATATTAAGTGGTTAAATTTTTTATACTTATTTTTAAATAATATTTTTATAGTATATAAATGATAATTAAAATTTTTTAATTAAATAATATTATTCAATAAAAAATACTGTCTAAAAAAAATTAATTACCATTCATATAGTATGAAAAGGCAGGCTAAATTCAAAAAATCATTTATTAACTTTCAGTTTAATTTCAGTTTTATCTATTATCTTTGAATTATTTCAATTTTATCTATTATCTTTCACATTTATTTCAATTCCATTTAGGCAGTTAAAGTTAACAGAAATCTTAACGGAAATCTTCTTAAATTTAGTACTCTAACTATGTTTCTTTTAATCTTTTAGTCCTTAAATTTATATTCACAGTAAAAATAGTTTTTATTTTTATTTTGCTAAATGTGTTTTTCATAAAATTATTTTACAGAGCAGACTGCATTCAGTCCACCCTGTAAAATTATTTAAATACCCTTAATTCTATTTTTATATTATTTTTTTCTGAACATTTAAATAATTTTATAAGACAGATTGTACACAGTCTGTCTTATAAAACAGACTTACCTATGAAATTTCTTATTCTAAATTTACTGAATTTCTTTGTTTGAATTACAATCTATCTTTATAAACTATTTTTTGATTAATCATATTTTATTAGGATTTAAGTGTCACCTTTTTAAAATTCAAAGGTCTGCTCTTTCCTCAAATCTAACGACAATCTAACGTCATCTTTGTACCGTAGACTAATTTGAAATATTTTTCAAAGTTTCTAGATCATTTAGAAATGAAACAAACTTTTTAGACTAAAATGAAATTAAACTGAAAGTTGGTAGATGATTTTTTGAATTAAGCCGAAAAGGCATTGCCTAAAATTAAGTGAAAAAAAACCAAAGGACTTATATTTGGAAAGTAAGGGAATACATCATGGAATCTTGTTTGAACAGCAAGAATTGGATTCGGCCAAGTATTAGATTTTTAGTTTAAATTTTAGCAAGTTGACTTTTAGAAGAAAGTAGTTTTGCAATCTGAGTTACAACTGGACAATCAAAATAATGACCATTAATAGAATAAAAGACTAACTCATATTCAAAAGTTTGTTTTTATTAATAATTATAGAATATGTAATCTGTATAAAATAGATTGCATATTACTTTTTAAAAATTTTAACACTCTTAAAAATTTCACATTGAAAAAATAAAAAGCAAATATAGTTCTTCTGCTCTAATTTAGTTATCATGCTTTCTTAATACTTAATAGAGATGGTATAATTGAGTTGTTCCACTTTATAAACGCAAATTATGTGAATTAGCCCCTTTTAGTTCACTTCAGGTTAACAATCACTCCCTCAACTTTTTTCACTAGCAAATAACTCTCTATAATTGTCGATTTGTGCAAATTGACCTTTGTTTCACCAATGATATCATCTAGTGTTATCAATCCGTCACATGTTCGTTTGGTTTTCTTGACCATTATCACATCCAATGGCCTCATTAGTTTTTTTTTTCCTAACCTAAATTTTTTCTTCTCTTTTTTTCCCTTTTCCCTCTTCTCACATGACTTTAGAATATCCTCTTTTCTCTTTTTATTTTTCCCTTTGTTGAAGGATAAATAGCTCTAACTTATAGTTTACATCAAATATAAAGACCAAAGTGAAAAAAATCCAACAGAGTATTCTCATGGTAAATTTTGCATTATAAACCCTAACATTGGAGAATCCTAATTTGTATATGTCATTCAAAAGGTCATTTTTGCAAAAAAAAGATTCAATGTTCAAAAGTCATGTGAGAATATAGGGGAAAAAAAGAAAAAAACTAAGGGAACAAGCAAAGGTAGTAACAGCCAAGAAGACCACATGGACATGTGACAGATTGATGGATGTAATTCATGAAAAAAGGATCTACTAAAGGGGTTTATTTGCCAATGAAAAAAGTTTAGGGGTGATCTTTGACTTGAAGTGGAGTACGTAGGGGGGCGGATTTACATAATTTGCCCTTTATAAATAAAAATTGTCTAATTTATTTATCTCATTTTCTAAATAGAGACCACACTTTTCATTTTAATGAGATATTAAACATTAATATATCAATTTTACCCTTATTTTAGAATAGATAGAAATGGGTTAAGATTTTTTTTTTAAAAGTTTATTTGTAAGTAAGGGGTAAAAATAAAAAGAAAAGTCTTAGGGCCTAATTATTGTAATAAAGGAAATTTTTTTGTAATTGTGAATTGATAAATTGAAATAACTAAATCAAACTACACAAAGTATAAGTTAAATACTCTTTTCGTAATACTTATTCTATCTTAAAATAATAGACTTTTTTATTTAAAATTTGATCCAGATTAATCATCATTTTTTCATATTTTAAGAGAGTTTTTTTTTTCTTATTTTAATCTTATTATTATCTCAACTTTAATTGTGTCCATCATGTTCCTATCATTAAAAAAGTCTTACTTATTTTTATTTTTTCTTTAAAACTAATATAAGCACAAATATAAATTATTCTTAAATAATTAAAAGATAAAATAAAAAAATTCTATTATTCAAGTGAAAACAAAGGTATTTCACCAGAAATTTTCCAGATGTGCTAAGAATGGCTTGTAACGGAAAGCAAATTCAAAAAACTGTTTAGGGTCTGCACTTAGCAACCCAGGTCCTGTTTTGGCTAGGGATGTTATCCGAGATCATTTGGGAAGATGGGTTTGTGGTTTCTCTAGTAAGATTGGTCGAACTTCCACTTTGGTTGCTGAACTATGGGGAGTCCTCGAGGATGTTCTTATAGCTTATCATAGGAATACCCAAAATTTAATTGTTGAAATGGACTCATTGGTTGCTACCCACTTATTATCTTGTTCTATTTCTCCTCATCATCGTCTTCACTCCCTTGTTTTGGATTGCAAGGAAATATTGTCTAGAATTCCTCGAGTTTCTATTCAACATGTGCATAAAATAGCTAATCAATGTGCAGACCATCTGCCTGCTTCTTGCTTTGGCTTATTTTTATATATATATATATATATATATATTTATTTATTAATTTCTTGATATTAAGAAACTATATTAAATTTTAATTCATTTAAAATTAAGTTACCTTATATCACGTAAGAGAGCAAATTCTCACAATACTAGTTTATAAATTTATAAAATTCAAATTCAAAATATTATTTAAAAAGAGTTAAGTTTCTTTCTTATGAATTATCAAGTTGTTAGTCATTTTGATCTATTCATTATCCGTAAATTTTGTTTTTTGTTTTTTTTTTTATTCTTTTGCCCTCCCGAGCTTCTTTTGTATTATAACGCTGATACGATGGGAATTTGCTATTTTGTCTTAGGAGAATGATAAGCTTACCTTCTGCCGTTACACATCTATCCACACTAGACTTGGCAAACGGGCGGGTTGGGTTGGGTCAGAATGGGTAATGGGTCAAAATGGATTGGGTTAAAATGGGTCACGGGTCAATGAAGACAGACTCTAACTCGCCCATCACGGGTCATAGGTCAACCCGGGTTGACCCAATTAAATTTTTGGTTAAAACCCCTTTTTGGTCCCTGAACTATTGTACGGACCCCTGATTTGGTTCCTAAACTAAAAAAATCCTTGATTTGGTCCCTATTGTTTACTATTTTTACCCCGATTTGGTCCTTCCGTTAAAAATTGTGTGACGTGGCCTGTTACTTAACGGTTACCAAATGACATGTCATATAATAATCCACGTGGAAGATAATATAACCAAAAAGTGATGATGTGGAAAAAAATAATATAAAAAAATATTATAAAAAAATAAAACTTAAATTTTT